TACAATCAGAATATATGATAATATTAATAACACCAATTATATTGTGTAGAAAAGATCTTAATAAAAATATTGAGGTATCATACTATTGTATGAGAAAAAATAAAAATTTAGTGGAAATACTACCTTGGAAATAGCTAATTGAAGATGAATTATCGGATATTTCAGAGTAAAGTAAATATGTCTCCGAGTATGAATTAAAGTCATATTCTCAAATAAATATATTTAATATTTTATTTTCCATCATTTTCTTTCTAATTATAGATATAATATATATCAATATTCGATTTAGTTTATGAAAGAATATAAAAACATAATGATGACTGAGGGCTTCACTAAGATATTGTTTTGATTGATAAAGGTAATATGTTACTAGTATTAACTGTGCTTTAATCATTTAGTTATATTTAGAGATATATAGATATATAAAAATGAGTTATAGACTTTTCAGTCTTACTTAGATCCAGGCTTAAACATATGAATGCATCGTTCTTCAACTAAGTACTTGTTATCGTTAACGTATCCGACTGGATGTGAACAGACAGCCTATTTTCAAAATAACGAAGAATGAGAAATCAAAATAATTTTTCAAGTTATTAAAAAGAATTCACCTTCCTTGCTTCCCATCTATCTACCTATAGAATATGTTCAGAATATTTATTTATTTATTGTATAATTTATTAATTTATTAACCAATCTTTTTATTTATTCTGTAATTTATTTATTTATTAAAATATTTATTTTTTTATAACATAGGTATAACGGATAATCTACGCATACAGCATTCCATACTCTCATTCACATAATTGGAAAATCTCTCAAACTGAAAGAATTTTTTTTGGTTGCTTTTGCAGATATTGAAGGAGCCTTTAACAATATATTTTCAAGTTTAATAGCAAGCGTATTCTCGCTTCTGTGTGTGGATGATAAGTTCATGAGCTTAATCAGTCTTAACTGATTATTGATTGGTTTATTAAGGCAACCATGGGTTCATCAACAGCACATAGACGAGCAACCACAGGTTATCCCCAGGAGGACTCACTCTGTCTTTTCCTCTGAAATATAGCGGTGAATGAAGTGGTACAAAAACAAAGACTGGCAGGCTACCTAACTATTACATATGCGGAAGATAATGCGTTAAATTTTGCAAAAAAACTCTTAATTCCTAAACAAAGGAAGTTGGGAAGTTGAAATGTGGCCGTGGAGTTAATCACAAGGCTTCCAATCTTTTTTCACCCTCTCTACAAGGTTCTGCGATACAATTTACTAAAAAATCAAATTTTTTTATTGCTTTCCACAGAAAAATAACTCTAAAGTCCCTGAGCTGACGATGAACTGAGTACATGAGTTTAAAACCATTAAGGTGGATACGGGCCCATGAAGGTAAGGAAGCTGAGTTATCCAAGTGGCGTATTTAGTTAGTAGTAATTAGTATCCTCTGATTGGTCATCCTCCTCTCATCTTAAGCGTTATCTTTTAACTGTTATTTTAATCAAGTTAGTGAACTACAGAAATTCAATTGGACTTAACTCATTTTTTAAAATATTTCTTTAACTGTTGTTGTAATTAATTGAGTAAATTTCTAAAAAGTCAACAGAAATCCACAACACAACCTTTTTTTCCTCTCCCCGAAGATCAATCCACTTATCGTTATTATTTTTAATTCAATTATAAAAAAAATTTCACAAATATATTATCTGTTATTCCTTTTTTGGTGCAATCCCAACTACGCCACTGCATTAACCTTTGTTTAAGTAATAATTAAAAATGAGTGAATTAAAGAGTGTATATTAAAAATCGCATAGAGTACCCGTATCTTCAAAAACTTTTTGAAATGTTTTTAACAACTTTGTGTTGAGATTATCTAGAAGTACTTAAATGAAAATATAACCACTTCTTGAAAGTGAAGTGGAAATCAGTCCAACATGCCGCATGAAACATACTTGAAACTTTAGCATTTTAGGATTGTAACAATCCTACAACAAACCCCTTCCGACGAACCCGATGCCTTTCTTCTACATTTTAGTGTTTTTGTTATTATTTTAACAGAAAATTGTTGAAATTTTGAATTGTTGATGTGTTGGAACGTTGGAACGTTGGTACGTTGAAAAGTTGGATGGTTGGATCGTTGAAATGTCATTCATCAGTGACGGCAACAGTTTTTGTTACAAGTTTGTTGCCGCTTGTGTAATAAAATTAATGTTTGCCAAAACGGCTTACAAAAATTGTTAGTACAAAAAATGATTTATTTTTTATTTATTTTCACAATTCTGCTTTCAGTTTAATTTTGCATTATTTTTATTTTTTCCGCTCTTCATTATTTCATACATTTTATACATTTCAAATGTTAAAGTTGAAGGCAACACCGTGCACCGATGCGTATGATTAACATCAAATGGCATAGAGAGTTCGTTTCAAGTGAGTTACAGAAATTATTCATAGCCTGTTTTCGCAGGACCCTTACACAATCACGGCGGACGAGAACTTCATTTAGTCGATTTGGATTATTTTAATGCACTTCCCATTTTGCTGTTTTTTAAAAGCAAATAAAATATGAATTACTAAATTGTATTTGAATTCCTAAATTCCTAAATTCTAAGGAATATCAACAAAAGATATAATAGCTAAGTAATCGTATTAGGAAAAGTTGCTTAAACAAATTAAAATTTGAAAATTTACTTAAGTGGTTTAAGGACTTCTTTATATATAAAATTCTTTTTAATATCTAATACATTTTATTTCACGAAGCTAAAAATTATTACTTTACAAATTTTCTTTTTAATTGGTCATTTAAATGGTCCTTGAGAAATAATTCTAAAAAAATTAAAAATGTTTAAAGTGGACAATAAAAGTTTACCATTTTTAATATTTTATATTATTTAAAATTTATATAAATATTATATATACATATTAAAATTATATATTTAATATATTTTTTGTAGTTCACTACTTTTCAAAAAACCTCTTTCTGAAATATACTAGTTTCTATTAAATATAATAGTCACTTCCGTCTTAAAAATGACGTTAAACTACAATCTATATTTACAAAATATATGGACTTGCCCGTGCGAATCGTGAACTAATATTTTAAATAAAATAAAATTAATTAATTCAATTATACTACAGCTGGTTTATGATTTCGTTCTAATATAATACAGCAAGTGTATTTAATAATACACAATAAAAACTTACAATAAAATACAATAAAAATAAAATACAATAATACAATAAAAACTTTCACCATTTAACAAAACTGCAGAAAAATTTGCGAACATACAAGTCAAATATGGGTTTCGGTCAGTTGGCAAATGAACACTGACTCTGAGCTTCAAATTTGGCAGGGCATGAGTTCAACCCTTAGTAATTGCAAGCTCAAAAACTTATTTACGAATAATTAAATATAAGAAATAATTCCAAGACAACTAACGATGTGTATTTGACAACATTCGAAACAGCGGTATGGACAAATTCAATTATTTAAAAATAAATAAAAGTGTTTTATGTTGCAATTCACTACTATTCGAAACCTCTCGTTTAAATATAGTAACTTCTATTAAGTTAAAATAGTTACTGCGGTCATAACTGACGTTAAAATCGATTTTAATATCGGTTACATTTGATTCATTTTTCATAAAAACTACCGATATTTCTTCATGAATCGTTTAACGTTAGAACAACGCTTCCAAATTGTGAAAATTTACTTTATAAAAATAAATCTGTTCACGAAGTTCATAGAGCATTTCGTCTTTAATGTTAAAGCTCTTGCCTGATTAAATGGTTACGTCAATAGGCAAAATTGCCATATATAGAGCGAAGATAATCTTCAAGCTGTTAAAGAATCACCATTATATATATTAAAATTGACTATTTGGTGCGGTTCCTTCGAACATGCTAACAGCATCTTTGGTCCTTCGAACGCTATCGAACCATTTGACTGAATTTTTGTTTCCGAAAATTAAACAATTAAACATCAACGACAATTGGTCCCAACAAGATGGCACAACTTACCATATAAAGCGCTTAATAATTGATTTATAGTGAAATCAATTTATTTTCAGAAGTGATCCTGTTAACTGCTTCCCTCGGTCGTGTGACGTAACGCCTCTCGGTTACTTTTTATGGGGCTATGTTAAGTCATTGGTTTATGCTAACAAACCAGTAACTCTCGAAGGATTAAAAGAACGGTGGCAGCGTTCATGCTACCAATGCCGCATTTATTGCAAAAAATAGTCAAAAAATGGACTGATTGAATGGACCATGTAACTCGTAGCCAGAAATGTTTTAGTTGGGCTTTTAGGCTCACAATAGATCTTTTAGGTCGGGGTGCATTCATAGCTTATTATTTAATCAAAACTTGTAGCCTCGATGACTATATGCCGGATATCGTATACAAAAAATAAATGCCATAAAATTATCTACCATATTAATAATAAAAAACAGGCAGAGATGTTATGCGAAGAGAAGAATTATGGAAAGAGAATGACGTTAGAGCTGCAACTTTTCATGAAAATACCTCAAAACAAAAGAATGAACTATAAGACAGACACGGAGAATATAGCCCACCTCTATAGAGAAGTGATTAGTAAAAATTAGTACAATATACGCGATAAAACAAAGAGGAGGACGTGTGTGTAGGTTTAATAATATTAAATTTTGTATTTGTATGTTTGTTGTATATTTTTGTTAAATGTTTATTATTAATTATGAAAATTAATAATAAAAATATTGAAAATTGGTGTAATTATCTTTGTAGATCGTAATCCTGATAATGACTATCGAGGAGATTCGACATATAGAATATAATAAAAAGTATTAAACTTTTAAGTATTTAACAAGAAGGAACCTACAGTCAGATTAAAATTATATTAAAAAAACTATTTTAATAAACAAGTTGAAAAATAAATTTAAAAAAAAAACAAATGTTTAATTTAAAAAAAAAGGTGACCTATAGCCGGATATAAATATATAAAAAAAACATTCATAAAATAGTACTATTTACTTACTGTGCTATTAATATTCCGTTTAGTGGAGACACGTCTGTGAAATATTCTCGCCGGTTCCGTTTCAATTTCAGACTCAGAAGATTCATCGCCGGGACTTATAGCAATAATTGGTATCGGTGAAATACTACCCGAACTGCAAGCACTACTACGACCACTGCTAGTAGCACCGCTAATATCCAATAAACTAGCACTACTGTAGGTGCTGCGACTGCCACGTCCTCCACGCGATCCTCCAGCAGTAACGCGTAATGTATCGAATTTGAAATTCGGCATGATTGAATAATTGTTATTATTTTATTTAAATCGTAGAAAATTATTTTTTTATTTTTTAATTTAATAATTAAGTGTGTTATTAATTTATTTTCTCATATTTCATTAATTAACTTATTAAGCTTTTCTTTGGATTTCTTTTTAATTAATTATTTCTGCTTTATAATAATTTTCGTGCATACTGTTAGGCGTTCCAGCGTAGCAGTAGATATGCTTTCATGTCCTTTCATTTCCTGTTTGTAGTTAAAGTGAAAGAAAATTATTTCTTTATTTTTTAATTTAATAATTAAGTGTGTAATTAATTTATTTTCTTATGTTTCATTAATTAAATTATTAAGCTTTTCTTTGGATTTCTTTTTAATTAATTATTTCTGCTTTATAATAATTTTCGTGCATACTATTAGGCGTTCCAGCGTAGCAGTATATATGCTTTCATGTCCTTTCCTTTCCTGTTTGTAGTTGAAGTGTTTTAATTAGAATAAATTGCTTTAGGCACATTTAGAAAGTTTTTAATTTTATTAGAATTTTTATATTTTTTTTTTTGGTTTCGGTTTTGGTTTTAAAATTGTTTATTTCTGTTATTCAAAAAGTTTTTAGATTTTAGATTAATTGTTATGCTAATGCGGTTGACTAAACTTATGCACCAAATATGATGAATACAAATTCATTGTATTTGTATTGTATCTACAAGAATATCTAACATCACAAGTAGTAGTATTAACGAGTATACGTACAAATGTAGAAATGTAAAAAAGAGCGATTATGTTTGTAAGTTGTGTATTGTATAAGTAATAAGCGTATGTAAATTTTCTTTATTATTTATTTGGTATAGAGTATATAATTTTTTTTTTTTATTTGCGTATACACACATATAAGTAGATGTATATAAATGACATTTAGAGCACAAAGAATAGCCTCAGGTGGCTGTTATCATTTTCGGTATTTTTAAATTTATTTCATGCTGCTTGCCACGAGTTAACTCAATACATTGTATGCAAAACGTGAGTGTCCTTAGAGTCCTTTAACGTGTTTGTCTGTAGCTTTTGTGAAGCGCTTATGGAGCGCTTGTGGAGTGCTTGTGTAGCCACACAATGCTTGCTTGTTGCGCTAATTACATATGCACGGTTTGTTGCATATAGTTTTTGACAAAAATCGTTTGAAGGAGAGTATCTTATGGCTATTCATTTATTCATTTCACTCATTTCACTACAAATAGGTTTGGTTTTTTTTTCTTATAAGTGAAGTAATTTATTTTTTACATTTATTTTACTTATAAAAACGTTGAGCATTTAATTTTAATTGAAATTTGCGGCGTTTTGACTTCGTTGAGGGCTGAATTAATTAAAAGAACTAATTTAGGTTATGGTTTTGTTTTTATAATACTTAATTTTTATATAAGAAACATGAAAATTTTGCTTAAAACTTAAATTATATATTTCGTTTTTTGTTTTTTGTTTCTGTTTTTGTTTTTGTCTTCGTTTTTGTTATTTTTATAAATATATTTATATATATATATATATAAGAGAATATATGTGTAAATGTGATATATGCTTCGTAGCTAGAAAATGCTTATGCTTATATGTAAATTATTTCTCTTATTGAACAGCACATTTAAATTGAATAAAAAAGAGTTTTTTATGTAATTTAATAATATAAAAAAACATTTATTTTAATCACTAAACTATTTTTTGTTTGTTGTATTAATTAAAAAAGTTTTTGCAATTTTTTAATACTAACTAATCTCTAGTTTTGTAATGAACTCTGCTTATTTACTTAAGCGTTCAATGAACGTACAAATTGTGCACTTAAATTTTGTAAAATTTTTTGATTTGAGATACTTTTCACTTAATTTTAATTGTAAGTTCACATTGAAATTTATTTATTCCATAAAAAAAAACTACACTACATTTTTTATTTCTGTTTAGCTATTTTTTTTTGTTTTTGCTTATAAAAAAATGCAGTCAAAATCGCATTGCAGCGTCTAATAAAAATTTGTATACTTCATAGCACCGCCGCGCACAGTACGAGACCGCAACCCTCACTGCGTTGTATCTAGATACTTTTTGCCAAGCATAGCAATGCGGAAAATATTCTCTATTATTATTTCTGTTACCGTTATTTGTTAGCTCATTGTTGTTGTATTCATTGTAGTTGTTGTTATTGTTGTTGGTGTTGTTATTGTTATCCTTGCTGCGCTGAGCACAAAGGAAAACTGTAAAGTAGAAAGCGGGTCGTTAACAGTGTTGCTGTGTTACACATTTGCAGTTCCAATAAAAATTTAGGAAAACAGTAGTAGATTTGTAATATTCTAATGAGTTTTAACTAAACGGATGAGGTATCAGTTTTTTAGTAGGTTTGGTAACGGCAAACAGTTGTTTAGGAAACCATAACAGAAGATTGAATCAGAAAGTTTAATACTTTCTGTCGCAGATGTGGGGAGGACGATGAAAGTGGTATCAGTTGCCTATACTAGGGGTCTATTTTTTTAAGAACTTGCCCAACTAAAAGCGCTTTCTTTAAATAGAACTTTAAACTTTACAAATGCTTCAAGGTGGTTCTTATACCAAACTCATTGCAAAGTGCACGAAATTCACAGTTGAAAATTCACAACAGACAACAACAAAATACAAGCACAAAGTTTCTTGCAACTGCTTGCAATCTTGCAATACCTATATTCATGTATATATACTTGCAGAGAAACAAAAAAGGGAAAAAACAGCTGTTTTGGCATCTGCTGCTTCGCATGTGGATGTGGTATGCTGTTTCATTTTGATATTGCAATTCTGCAAGAGAGGTGTTTTCACACTCTTGCAAATTTAGTTTAGCATTTTTGTATTTCGTGAAAACTCCTATTCTATTTAATGCCGATGTTTATTATAAATGTGTTATAAAAATGTATCTGAAACTATCCTTAACGCACCTTGATCAAACATTATTTTGTTTTGTGAAGAAAGAAGAAACAATCAAACCAGAAAAATTACAATTCATAGCTTATTTCCACATTTCTTTTGTGAAACTTGAAGACTTTAAATTTTCTAGTTCGATTTATTGCTTGTTTTTAGACGAAGTTCGTTAGACAATAAACTACTTTTATTAAAAACTAAAACTAGAAAACTACCCAACTTATAAGGTATAGGGATATAAGGAGTCTTTCAAAATTATATAGAATAAATGTTCTTTATCAGTTATAAAGCTTGATATGGTAAAATCAAGCACTGTTCTAAGGTTTTTGATAACCAAATTAAATAAGTTAAAAATATTTCCATTGCGAAAATAAATTAAGGGATATAAGTCTCCATTGATATTCAATTAATTATTGTAGTCACTACTGGGACACATGAAAGTTATAAGACATTAAAGTTCGATAGCAGAATACAGAGATTTTAAAAATAACAATGTTATTTTATATACTATAATGTACTTATATACAATCTTTATATCATATATATTTATATATAATCAATAGATCTTTGTATATATTATATTGTAATGTATTAGTAATTTTTATAATATTGATAGCGAGGCGTCAGCTTTTTGGCAAGGTGTCCACTGGTTTTTATTTACCATAAAGTTGTAGCTGTAGGAAAACAACGACTTATCACAAATTTCGACATTTTTACAACAGGTATCAAATTCTTCATACCTGGAGTTGGTCTATTCATTTTATGAATTAAAATCTTTTTTTCAGAAGATCGTTTAAAAAAACATATTTAAATCAAATCTTTAATCACATATTTATCTTTTTATAAATATTATTTTTCACTTCAAATTTCTTTAATTTTTTTCTTTACTTTTACCATTTGCTAGTATGAAATTGCAATGACTTTATTTTTGGTTTATTTCCAACCTCTACATATGAGTAAAAAACTCTCATGCATTCATTTACTCTTTTACTTTGTATTTACTATGCGCGGTTCAGTTTTTTTACTGAACCATTTGCCCATATAAAACAGCAACCATGACTTTGATTGTATTTGCACGCTTCGTATGAACTTCGGGTTCAGTTTAATCGACTAAACCTCTCGTCAAATGTAAAGCGATTTTCGCTCAGTCATTTCTTTTCTCTTTTGTATTTACTTTGCATAACATTGGAGGTTCACTGTTTTTATTGAACCGCTTGCACGTATTAATCTAAGAGTTATGATTATTTTACGTACATATTTTGCGGGGCTTGTTTTCTCTTTTATTTTTATATTTGTTTGTATGTTTTGTGTTTACTCAATACTGAACATAGTCCTGTAACATAAAATTTACACTAACTAAATTTTACTACACAAATAATACCAAACAACACAAATATAATAAAAACAAAATAAACAACAAGAAAACAAACAACAATAGAAAGAAACTTGTAAACAACGAACCGTTGAAATCACAAGAACAAAGATACTGCTTGCTTCGCACATCACAAGTATAAAAGGCGAAGCAAACGCAGTAGACGGGCATTCAGCAAGACAGCGAGCTAAGAACAGGTCGCTCTATATTACATGTGCTGAAACACCAAGAATCGAAATTTACATCTCGATTTCTATTTTGTTTTTTATTTTTTTTTATTTTTAATAGAAATACACATTTCTATTAAAAATCATAATTAATAACGAAATTAACATTTCGTTAATAGTAATAGAAATATAAATTTCTATTACTCTATTGTTCATAACGAAATCAAATTTTCGTTAGTAAATTACGCGGTAAGGTGATAATACCACATGAGGATTAGCACCCATACCAAATCCATTGTATGAAGAAGAAATTCACATTTCTTCAAACCATATCACCGTACCAACGTCACCATCCACCGTATTCCACTGTTCCTATCAAATAAATTTATTGTAGGACTGAACCTTGAATCCGGCGAGCAAAACCCCGGCCAGAAAGGTTCGTTACAGTCCCAATGTGAATGTTATTTCATTTGCAGCATGCTTTGTAAGCAGCGCTGTGCATTTTTTATTCTGAACCTTAGTATATTTTAAGAGGAATGTGTTTTCTCTTTCATTAATTATAAGTAATGTTGGGTATAACACTCTG